AGTTCGAGACGCGCAGCAACATGCTTACGGCCACGCATGTAGATTATCAACATGGCCGGCACTGAGGACACCATTGACAAGTATGTCAAGTGCGTAGAAGACACCTCTCGTAAGTGCAAGCTCAACAATCACGCGTGCACCAATTGTGCTGTGTGATATACGAAGGATGAGGACTACAATTTGCTGTGGATCAAGACGAATGCATCGAGCAGTTTCGTCCTGTGCAACATCCTGAGCTTACCGGCGCCGACGCTGACGCTCAGGCATCCAAGATTCTAGATGGGGTAAAGGGGCGTGGTGCAAAAGGACATGGTTTAATGGGGCGGTATGGTGCTATTCTGGTTGATGTTGTTCGTGTTGGAGCTAATGCATCATAGTATGATGTGCATGCGTTCGTGTATGCAGTTGCTCTCGCACTGCAGTTCTGGCGCATCCAAGCGACGGCGGCCAATTGGCCATTGATGCGATGCCTCTTTGTTTGCTCGGCTGTTGGGTTTTGCTTGTGCTTGTGCGCGCCCGGCGCGCAGCGTTGCCGTGTTACTGTCGACGACGTGCTCTCCCTGGCCTTGATCGCCCCATGCAGGTGTGTCCTCGCGTGCGCCTCGCCGCTCTCCATCCCCATCCAACGTATGAGTTTATCCGCTGTCGTTTCGCTTTTCTTGCGGATATGAGGTCGTCGCACGTGCGGCGCTGTGCAGTTGGCAGCGATGCCCTTCTAAATCATGGTTGCAGTCGTCGGCGACGTCTGTCTGTCAATGGCTGCCGCGGTATCATTGCGCGGTGGCTGTCGTTTCAGGCTTTGTCGTTACCGCGATTGCGATCATTAGTGGCCTGCGACCCCCAGCGCGCAGCATTGGGTCCAGTCGAATTTTGCCCCGCTCGTGACCCCTCCCGCCCACGCACGCGCGCGTTTCCAATGCGGCGATTGGTGGCCTGAGCGGGAACTCCTTCGAAGGTCTCGGTGGTGGAACTCGCGCGCGGCTCATTGCAGCGCTTCGTGGCCATATATGGCATATATGGAGCTCCACCGAAAGCTATAGCGGCGGATCTCGCATGAGCGCCCCTCGCCCAGTGCGTCGCTTCGGAGCCCAAAGGGAAGCGCCACCCCAGGTCCCAGTGGCGGAAACCGCATGCGCTTCCTCCATTCAGTGCAGCGCGTGGTGCATTGTATGCTCCACCGAAGGCCCCGGCGAGGGAATTCGAAGGCGTTCCCCGCGCCCGCCGCGGTGGTTCGTGGACCCATAGGGTGCCCCATCGAAGGCCCTAGTGTTAGAGTTCGTTGCGGTTTCTCTATCCCGCGCAGCGCTTTGTAGCCCCATGGGGGGTTCCACCACGGGCCCCAGTGGCTGCGCTCGCATTCGTGGATCCAACCGCGCACAACGTCTCGTGGGCCCATGGGGGTCTCCAGCTTTGACGGTGCCTCTTCGGCGGAGTTGAAGAAGTCACATGGTCGGGTCTCTCGCCTGAAGACTTCTTGGAACGCAAATTTTGGCGCCGCGGGCGCATCCGTGATGAGATGCCGCTCGTGGGGATCTGGATGGACTCCTTGTTGCTTCTCTGGCGGTTCCTTGGCGGAGCTTCTCTTGGACATGAAGGCGCGTAGCGCGGTGGCCACACCTCCTGGCGATTCTGAGGTTCCAGGGGTCTGGCTTTTAAGTATAGGAATTTCGAAGCTTTCGCGTTGAAATTTCGGATTTTCCGGAATTTCGTTTTTTCATTATCAAATTTCGGAACTTACGAGATTCCGTTGTTTCCCAAACATCCTGTGGTGTTGGGTCCTCGTTTTGAAGAGACGGCGCCCCGCGTTCCTCTCGTTCCTTCCTTCCCGTCCTCCTCCCTCCACGCGTTTCGTAGCCCCATAGGGAGCTCCACCGAAGGCCCCAGTGGGGGTGTCCACATGCGGCCCCTCCACCCAGGGCAGCGCTTCGTAGCCCCATAGGGAGCTCCACCGAAGGCCCCAGCGGGGGTGTCCACATGTGGTTCCCCCACCCAGGGCAGCGCTTCGTAGCCCCATAGGGAGCTCCACCGAAGGCCCCAGTGGGGGTGTCCACATGCGGTTCCCCCACCCAGGGCAGCGCTTCGTAGCCCCATAGGGGGCTCCACCGAAGACGCAGTGGGGCTGTTCACATGCGGCCCCCCTCACCCAGGGCAGCGCTTCGTAGCCCCATGGGGAGCTCCACCGAAGGCCCCAGTGGGGGTGTCCACACCCCCACCCAGGGCAGCGTTTCGTAGCCCCATGGGGAGCTCCACCGAAGGCTCCAGCGGGGGTGTCCACATGCGGCCCCCCCCCCTCCCCCCCCTCCAGGGCGGCGCTTCGTAGCCCCATAGGGGGCCCACAGAAGGCCCCAGTGGGGGTGTCCACATGCGGTTCCCCCGCCCAGGGCAGCGCTTCGTAGCCCCATAGGGAGCTCCACCGAAGGCCTCAGCGGGGGTGTCCACATGCATTTCCCCCACCCAGGGCAGCGCTTCGCAGCCCCATTGGGAGCTCCACCGAAGACACAGTGGGGCTGTTCACATGTGGTCTCCCACCCAGGGCCGCGCTTCGTAGCTCCATAGGGAGCTCCACCGAAGGCCCCAGTGGGGGTGTCCACATGCTGTTCCCCAGCCCAGGGCAGCGTTTCGTAGCTCCATAGGGAGCTCCACAGTAGGCCCCAATGGGGGTGTCGACGTGCTGTCCCCCCCACCCAGGGCAGCGTTTCGTAGCCCCACAGGGAGCTCCACCGCAGGCCCCAGTGGGGGTGTCCACATGCGGTTCCCCCACCCAGGGCAGCGCTTCGTGGCTCCATAGGGGGCTCCACCGTAGGCCCCAGCGGGGCTGCCCGCATGCGGTTCCCCCGGAGGAGAAGGAGGAGGAGGCGGAGGAGGAAAAAGAGAAGAAGGATGAGGAGGAGGGAAAGGAGGAGGAGGGGAGGAAGGGGGCGGAGGAGGAGGAAGGGCTTTTTCGAACCACGACCGCGAAACTCGACGAATAACCGAAGTGCATTCAGCCTTCAACCTCCTCGTCCGTTGTTTGGCCGTTGCCCCAGACGAAGCTAGAACCTAAGCGCGCGCGTAGCGCGCGCGTGGTTCTAGTGTATGTATGTATGTATGTATGTATGTATGTATGTATATATATATATATGTATATATATATATATATATATATATATATATATATATATATATATATATATCGGAGTAGGCCGGGGGGGGGGGGGGGGGGGGCAGGCCGGTGCCGTACCCCCCCACGTGAGGACTGGGGGTCCCAGGGCTCCCAGAACTGCCCGGGCCCGCTCCCAAACGCGCCGCGACACGCCAAGAGGACTATTGCCAAGACGGCCCCAAGAGGCCCTAGACACGCCGAAGATGGCCTCAGGACGGCCGATGACGCCGCCAAAACGTTCCAAAAGCGCCTCCTGAGGTCCCTCCAAAGGGCCCCCGTCACCGAAAATCATGCATTTTCCCATGGTGTTTGAAGCATTTTGCGCTCTCGCATATCACAGTACATCAAGATCGATACATTCAGCATTGCATCTGCCCGTCGCCCAATCAAGTGTCTTTGAAACGTTGCCATGTCTTACATTTCTTTATTCCTTTTCCGGGTCCGTGGGTCGATCATGTTTATGTGGACTTCTACTCGGAGATCCCACACATCCCCTGACGTCTGGCCTGTACCGCGCCTCCCGGCTTCCCGGGGGGCCCCCAAGACGCCCAAGTCGGGCGCCGCGTAATGGGGGGGTCATATATGGGGGGGTGGCAAGGGTGGTTCGAAAAGGTACCCAAACGGTACCTAAACGAGCCCCCTGGGGCTCTGGAGGGGCCCGAGGGGGCACGAAAGGGGACCTTTTCTGACCCCCCCGTTTATGACCCCCCCATTAAGTCCCGCCCGACCAAGGACAGCCCAAGACAACCTCAAGGACCCCCCAAAACGCAAAGAACGGCCCAACGCCCAACACGTTCCCGCGCTGCCCGAGACGCCCTTCCGGCAGCTCTCCAGGCCTCCAGGAGGCCTCCAGAACTCCCAGAGGGTCCGGAAGATCCCGCCCCCCAAAGGGCCCGGCTAACAGAACCCGCGAGGCACATGGGCGCCGCGTAATGGGGGGGTCATAAATGGAGGGGTGGCGAGAGTGGTTCGAAAAGGTACCCAAACGGTACCTAATTGAGCCCCCTGGGGCTCCGGAAGGGCTCGAAAGGGGCACGAAAGGGGACCGTTTCTGACCCCCCCAATGATGATCCCCCCGTTAAGCCACGCCCAAGGCACAAACAAAAAACAGCGCCGAGGAATTAGAAGAATGGGAATCCCACAATTCGCTTGTTTGTCCAAGTTTGGCCCCTGGTCTACTCTTTCACAACAGACCACAATTCAGACCCCGCTCACCTCCCAAAAAAGAACCCGGGATGCCTTTGAGGGCCCCAAATCGCTGAATACCTAGAAAAGAAATTCATGATTTCTGTATTTCCGCAATTCCCCTTCTAAACGATTCCGAGGCTTGCGCAGGGCTCCAAGGGAGTCCCTAGACGCAAGAAGCGACCAAAATGTGAGTACACGAGATAGCCGATCAAGCCTAGCCAGAACTTGAGCGCGCGCGAAGCGCGCGCGATGGTTCTGGTATATATATATATATAAATGTAAAGATATGTATGTATGTATGTATGTATGTATGTATGTATGTATGTATGTATGTATGTATGTATGTATATATATGCATATATTTACATAGGTACTGCACCACGCAGGACGCAGATTGCGCTCTATAGATCGCACCGCATTGTTGGCACCACCATATTGCGCATGCATATTGCAACTTGCATCACGGAGATCGTAGACCACATGATGCACGAGGCAGATACCACGACCGAGATTGCATCTTCTGCACCACGTAGATTGCGCATCGCGAGTGAAATATTCAGCTGTCTGGGGGGTCTACGCTGGCAGGCATTTCCATAGATGACATATTCATGAACTCTTACTGTGCCCTTTCAGCGGATTCTATGTGTGGCCTGGTTAGTTGCAACCTCAGGACACCAACACAACTACCACGACCACCGATGGGCCGACCGATGCTACAACTACGACCACCGTGAAGTCCTACGATTGCAGCGCCGCTTTAAGCAACGCCGAAAGGGCATGGTCTGTTGAGAAGAAGCAGTGGTGCTTGGGCTATCGCACGTGGATTCATACTCATCCCCTCCCAAGAGGAGCCTGAGGAGGATGGACACGAGGGGAAGGATGGGCCGCGACAGAAGAGAATGAGGATGAATGGCTTCCTGCTCCCTTTCCCCCTTCTCCTATCCTCCCTCTTTCCTCCGTCATCCCTCCCTCCGCTTCCTCCTTGAGTTTCTCTACTCATCATCCTTCTCCTCCCTTCCCGCCGTGTGCCTTCCGTTCCTCCTCCGCCGCTCTGGCGGGCGGGGTGCGCGTTAGCTGGGGAGCCTGCGTGCTGGTTTGGCCTCGGGACCAGAGCGTCGAACGTGGTATGTTGTTGGGCCGATCGCGGGGGAGACGACTTGGGACCCGCCGAAGGGATCCGACGGGCCCCCTCGCCTCGCCCACTGCCCCCTCGCGGGTCGCTGCGACGAGCTGTGAGTGGCTTGTCTGTGGCCTACCTGTCAGTGTGTCGTCGGTGGGCTGTCGAAGCTGTCAGCGAGCCGCCAGTGAGCTGTCAGTGAGCTGCAAGTGGGCTGTCAGTGGGCTGTCAGCGAGCTGGCAGTGGACTGTCGTGGGACTGTCAGTGGTCGGTCAGAGGTCTGTCAGTCAGTTGTCAGACAGTTGTCTGTCAGTGGTCCGTCAGTCGTTCATCTGTCTTTTGGTGGTCTGTCAGTGGTCTGTCAGTGGTATGTCAGTGGTCCGTCAGTGAGCTGTCAGTGGTCTGCCAGTGGTCCACTGACAGACCACTGACAGTCCACTGACAGACTACTGACAGCCCTCTGACAGACCACTGACAGACTGTTGTGTCACGTTCTGGGACCTCTCGTTCCCGTTGGCCTCAACAAGGGCCTCCCTCTGAAGTGGTTGATTGTAACCATATCTCTGGAGCCCTGCGTAGTAGTCCGTCTTGGCCCAAACTTGGGCGCCAGCTCTTTTCTCAGCGGTCGGTACTTTGCTTTTCCCTTTCGCAGTTTACGATCGGGCATAATACATGATATTTTCTTAGCTAGAAGCCCGCTTAGGCTTGACCTATCATGCTTACGGGTACGCTGCATGCTCATCCAGCATGCCGCGGTGAGCCCCGAATAGCGCCACCAGACCCGCCTAGAGGCAGGCGTGCCGCGGTGACCGCCGAGAGGCGCCACCAGACCGGCCTTGCGCCACCAGACGGGCCTGGAGACATGCGTGGGGCGATCACGGCTCCCCGGAGCGAAGCAGACGGCGAAGCCACAGCCCGTGAGGCGATCGCGGCCCCCCCTGAACGCAGCTGAACAAAGCCTTCGCGGCAAGCAGAAAGCTACCCGTGGCATTGACTGCCCAGGATCTCGATGGAAGTTATCGTGTGCGCAGTTGTCTGGTCGTGCGGGTCCATCCTGGGTGGACGCCGGCCTGTCACCCACGCTGCCACATCTGGTGAAAGTGGCCACAAGGAGCGTGGGTCCTCCAAGGCCCCCAGAGACATTTCCATAGGTTGCCCCCCCCTGAGCGCAGAAGGACACTTCGAAGAAAAGATGCAATTGGGTGCGTCACGAGACAAATATTGCCATCTGTCGTGATGCCCTGTCTGTCTGCTCATCCTCCCGCTCATCAGACAACGCCGCTGGCAATGCACAGATTGTCAATGTAAATGGCCAGCCAGTGCGTCGCATAGCCGTCGGAGACACGTCGCATCACGGCCTGGAAAGCCTGCGGCCCGTCGCATGGCCCAAACGGCAAGGATTCCCACGCTTAGAGACCTGTTGAGGAGCACCGATCCCGAGCGCCTTTGGCACGCATGCTTCGTCGGTGTGTCGGTTCGTGCCACGATGTCTTACATCATCTGAACAGTCGTGTTCATTTGTTTGTTCGCACCTTGTTGCGCATCGCAGGGCTAGGACACCAGAGGATTTATTGATCGCTCTTTGGCGCGTTCTGTGGCCATCCCCATCTGGTGGGAACCCCAGCATGCCACAACAAAGTGTGACCCTTTTTCTTGGGGGTCATGGGTGCGGTCAGCATGCATCTGTCGGTCCCCTGACGTTGCGTTTCAGCTTCACTGAATAATTGCCCGAATCTTCGCCCTGGTCCGTAGGTCTAAATCTGCGTCTTCGGTCGGGCCCCAAAGGGGGCCCACCCCAGGGCTGTCCTGTGGAGGTGACCGCAACTATTTCCGGCCAGGGGGGGCAGGATTTGTCCGCTCACATGCGGCGCCAAATGGTTACTATTATTTTGCGCCGCCATTTGTATCAACATCCATTGAGGTTTGCTTTCCAACAACGCCGCCTTCAGGGATGGGTTGCAATGCATTTTGCGTCCTGGGTTAACAATCCCACTAAGTGGTGGGGGTACCAACTTCAGGCCACGTTTCGCCGTGACGCTGCACGTTGGCTCAAGATACGGCGCTGGAGAAATGGATCGGGTGAGATCGGATCCTCAGTGGCAAGGCCAGCTCTGGACTCGCCACCATCAGTGTCACCTCACTACTCTCACTCCGACTTAACATACACGTATAGTCCCACGGCGAAGCCATCGGCAGGTTTACTGGGGTTCTGTTTCAGTATTTTGCATGCCCAGATGCTCATCCCATGTTTTTTTGTGTTGCTTTCTGTTTCCATGCACGGGCGCTGGCTTGTGCGCGGTTGCCCTTCCTTTTGCTTCGCGGTGGTGGCAGTTGTCGAAAGCCCCGCCGTGCCGTGACGTGACGTGCTGAGCCGTGTTCGGCTTTCATATTGGAAAAATGGATCCCCGTGCCGTGCCGCGCTTGTTTTTGTTACCGTGATGAACATGCGCTTTGACGTGCTGTGCCGTCTTTGGTCTGCAAGCGCACCCTGGTCTGCCGAAACACGCTCGTGTGCTTTGCCGTGTCGTGCTCGGTCTGCAGACTGCTACAACTCCGCCGTGCCGTGCCGTAGTTGGTCTGGCCTCAAGCTTGGCCTCCACACGCTTAACTAGGATTGGCAGTGCACGAACCCGGCCTAGAGATGCAATGCTTCCCGACGTCTCGTTTTTTTTGCCGGAGCTGGGTTAGGGGACCCTTGGGGGCGGGCCGGGCCCGCAAGGGCTGTGGCTCGGCCGAGAGCGTGGTTCAGTCCTGCTTGGCAAGGGGCAAGACCTCTCCTCTCACCTCCCTTCCCCTTCGCCCCCACATCCCCCCTTTCTTGCTCTCCCTCCCCTGCCCGTCGTGACCCTTTTCGTTCCCCTCTCCTCCCCCCCTGCCCTCCGCCCTTTCCCCTCGCCTCCCTCGCCTCCGCTATTTGCCCCTCCGCTCAGTCGCCTCCCTCTCGGTACCTTCCTCCTTGTCCCCTTTCGTTTCCGACTCGCTTCGCCGTCGATCCCATCCAGGGTTCCAATCATTTTTGTTCGTCGTCCTTGCCTGCTGCCTGAAAGCCTCCAGGATTCGTCACGGGGGGCCGCCACGTGGTGCACAGTGTGGGGGGCGATCGCGCGGATGATTATTTGAAGCACCTCACGCCAAGCTCCGGGACAAGGACTTTTGGCCATTGGGAGTGCGAGAAAGGCGTGCAGCTGACCGACCAGTATCCTGATGTCCTTGTGGCGTTGCGCCGCCTATCCCGCACATGCTTTCAGCTACCAGACGTTCGTGCCGTACGTCTCGCAAGCGGTCGGAAGTCTGTGGGACTATGGCCCGGCTGCACTTCGCAGTTCGGTCATCTGGTAGTTCCCCCGGAGCCGAAGCGACGCTCACCAGCAACATTTTGGACGGCGTCAAGTTCGACGCCCGTAGCCTCGTCGGCGGGTAGTGGACCCTCACATCATCCAGTTAGTCCAGGGCGACGAGCCGCTGCTGCTTGCAACAGACGCCAGTTAGGGCCCCAATGGGGCGTTCGACGACTATGTCACCGACGTCCCAGAGGACACGGCCAGCGTCACCGAGGGTGGTTTAGCCTTGTCGGTCGTCCCCGAAGAGGCGACCGCGATTTTTCCGGCCACATCCAGCAGGTGATGTTGGCAGCATGGCAGGAAGGCGAGGGGTCTTAGGATCTGGCCTAGGAGCTGCAGGAGTTGGAGAACACTGGCTGCTTGCGGAAGGTCCACGCTGCCGTGGAACATGCGGCCGCCAGCATGGGCCGCAGGCCACGCGAGTGGCCGCAGCTGCCGCATCACCAGCGCCAGTACTTCCACGCGCAATGTCACTAGTACCTGCGCGGCGCCTCCTTGGACGAATACGCCAAACTTGAGGAGGGGGATGAAGGAGGAGAGCGCGTGGAGTTGCATTTGGGCCCCGGAGTGCGAGGAACATTCGTGAGCTGCAACGAGGGGCCGTCCGGCAATTACCTTGCTAGCGCCCACGCGACTGCCGCGATTAAGGCGCGTGCTGCCGTCGAGACCGCTGTCATCGAGTGCGACGCGGACTTTTGGGCCAAAGTGGAAGTGTCAAGGCTGTCCAAAAGGGCGGCAGCAGCCGTCCTCGAGGAGCTCGCGATCTTGGCCGAGTACAACAGTTGCGAGCGACGACCTCCCCAAGACGCTCGGAACGTCGTGGGCTCCAGAAGTGCGTTCAAGCGGAAGCGCCAAAAGGGATCGGGCGGCGTGACCGCCAGGATCATCTGGCGCCGCGCGGCTTCCGCGACATGGGCGCCGGCGGTGTTAGCCGACGTTGCGAAGCGGGCGCCCCATCACATTCTGTTTTGGGAGGTGGATAGTCGCCCGGAACGCGCGTCGCCGTGAACGTCGAGGAGGCCTCCCCGCTGGGCATTGGCTACGCCGAGATGCAGGAGCAGGGCGAAGCGCCACGAGAGGTGAACTTCGACCAGCCGCCCAGCAGCGTTGCCAGCCTCAAGCAGGCCCCAGGCTTCGAGTCCTTCGGCGAGCGGACCGAGTGCCCGCTCTGCATCAAGCCAGGAGCTGGCTGCAACGATGCGCCCCGAGCCATCTCCATTCAGTTCGCCGGGGCCACGCGCTCTTTCGAGAGTAGCCCCCGGCCGACGCGATGGGGCCATGGGGCCGAGGTCAAACATGAGGCGCCCGGCACTTATGGCGCCGACGGCTCGGAGCTAGTGCCC